TGTGCACCAGCGCGGAGTGCTTAAAGGCGTCTCCAAACGCCCCTCTGCGAGCCCAGAACTTTGTCGCTTCTACGCCGAACCATTCTCGAGCAGGACCATGGCTGCGTCAGTTTCATGCCATGGATTAGTAAAGCTAGTGGCGCTTCGAGAAAAGCCTATCACGGTGTTTTGCCTCGATCTGTACGTAATAATGGCTTACGTACGATTCTTTATCGCAGTTGCAAACGTCGATTTCTGTCCTGGACAACAGTGCCACGGTGCGATGTTGGAGTTTCGCGGCACTGTAGGTTGGTGAACAGATTCGGTCCGTCCTCGCTGGCGTCTGCTCGCCGTTTCCCTCTTGTAGATGCGCTTGGGGGAGGGGCGAACCGCGGACATGTCGTCATTTGGTCAATCCGTCCGCGGATCAGTCCGTCGTGTGAATCGGTCATAAACGACCGGGACTTGTGCATGATTGAACACAGAAGTGTCACTTTATGCTCGATGCAAGCATTACATCGTACACGTCTCACGGACTCGTTCGCCACTCCTGGCTGAAAACAATGGCCCTACAATAGCCCCGTGTAAATTTCGCGAGTTTACACTCGCGGAAAATTGATTTCACCTAAACTAGTGACAAACACTTTAACTGCCAGTTTTATATAAATTTTTTTTCTTGTGGTGCACACTTTATGCCGGTGCTTTCTCCTGCAAGCCGAAAGTAAATTTGAGTACCAGTAACACAGTATCATAAATTTAAAAATATATATATGTATTTGTGCTTCAACTTTCAAGTACACATTTCTTTATGGGCACAATGTTAATTAATGTCTGCATTCCTCCAACCTATGACATTGTTCTCCAGACACGGTGCAATGCAAAATGGTACGTCGGCCTTGTAACATGAGAGCATTCTTTTTTTGGTGGCCTTGCTCGGCCTTTCATTTATGCTGAACCGCAACCTTCTAGTTTTTACAGTCGTGGGTATAAAGAGGTTCTTTAGTAATCTGCAAATCTCCGTTTTGGGACATAAACCGCGAGGCTGAAGGGCAAAGACTTACCATTGTGGAACAAAGCAGAGGAGGCCAAAACAGAACTCGCCTAAACAAATATATACACTCGCCATAAAAAAGGTAGCACCTAGAGACAAAACCTTTAATCACGCAACGATCGGGCAATAATCGGGCGAGGCAGGGGTGTTAGACGGAGCGCGTTCGATATTGACCCCTTCGAAAGTACACGTGAGGGCATCGGAACCCCTGTAAAATGGCGGAACTACCAACACCGCAGAACGTGCAAGTCATTACATACGTCAGAGACGCTTTTTCTTTAGCTATCTTTTTGCCTTTTATTCGAACCAAACGAAGAAAGTGTACCGTAAGACTGCGGTTTTCGTGGCTATGCGTCCGCCATCGTGCGGGGAATCACACAGCTTCCAACAGAGGCATTTTAAAAAGTCTCTATACTGCCAGGAAATGTTCCACAATTCGTCTTTCATAATGCAATCAAATGGAAACTGAAAGAACGCGCAGTGAACGCGCGATAACGAGGCAGCTAAGCCTGCGCCGTGATTGGTTGAGGTCGGAAGGAAACAAAAGCACGTGTGGCGCATTTGTAGGGTCATCGCTTCCTATAGACTGACGAAGCCTGGCAGATCGCCACGAGAAGCGGCCGCCGAAATGGAAAAGGTGGGGCGGCAGACAACGGATGAGTGGAGAGCCACGTGACTGGCGCCCCGCTGCGGCGACACGCCGAAACACACTTCTCCCGAGCGAACAAGTGTGTTTCGGGTCCTCGCCGCTGCAAATGGAGCGCGCTGACGTCTATGGTCCTCGAAACATGGCTCTTTGATGCTCTGTGGAACCAGATCCTCGCGCTCCAAATCTGCGACCGGGCACTCAATGGCTCCGTCGTCGCGTTGCCAAGCTTCATGAGTACAGAGGAGGCTGTGGTAGAGTAAAGAAACACACGAGGTGAGCAAAGACCAGACGAACCTTGCGCGCAATATACTCGAGCGTGGCACTCAAAAGAAAAAGAACGACGAGGCAACGTAATCTTCCTTCTGTGTTCGCAAAAATTCGGTTGTCTAAAGTACCGATTTGAATGCCTCAATATGACACTGTGAGTTTATGATCAGTATGCGCTTTTGTAGCTTAAATAGAAGGACGTCACGAAGTATCGAAAAACGATCAATCATGATTCCTTATAGACATTTCAGTACGGCTTAGTTAAATAAATGTATCCGTTATTATACACATTCCGAATGACGTCCATCCATTGAGGACAAAAATATATAGAAAAATCAAAAGTGGCATGAATATCTCATTTTTAGTGTGCTCCAGCAACAAAAAAAGAAAACTCACAAAATGACGTTGCCGTCACGTGCGACGCCTAAAAAGAAAGCTTTAAAATATTGTTTGAAAACAAAATATGTTTTTGTTATCCCATCATAAATGGCATGTTTCCTTTTCGGTGGACCCCAGTTGCCCATTTTTCTTCTTATTTTTGGTTCATCGACTAGAAAATGCCTCGGCCTCAATAGTGAAAAAGAGTAAAAAGGAAAAGAAAAGAACGTAGATCTTCAAAAGCGTAATCAAAGTTTACACAAGCGGACAACTTGAAGGCGTAATCTCCCGTATAGCCGCGCGAGTCACACACACACTTGATGGATGGCACGGGGAAGCAAAACTAGATTACGAAAATATTTCTTTTTGTGCGGTACTCTGTTTTCTAATGACGCCCTGTCGCTTCTGTCACGCCTCGTGGGGACACTTTTGCTCTCAAACTAAAATAAAAATAAAAATAAAAAAAATATAAATTAGCGTGGTGGAAGCGTTCTTTTTCCTTCCGAGGAGCTCTACTTCACTCAAGTGTTAAGACTTGCGCTTTGCTTTAACAATTCTTAGAATATGACCTTATGGTCGTGTTTAGTTTATCGACGCCGAAAAACCCCGACATTATATTTAAGTTATTTGTTCAGACTCTCTAGGACGATACTGACATAAACGTACAAAAGAGAAACAATTAATAAAAATAAAAATGCTAGGGCATTGTATCGTACATTGAAACTAAAAGAAACTATGGGTTTCAGGAGGGTGCAAAGTTATGAACAAAAACTTGAAATATCACTTATTTATACTAAAACGAAACGTGAAAGTAAAGGTAAGAGAGCAACAATTCAGGGAAATAAGTTTGATAGGTTAATACATTACACATTGTAACAAGAAAAATCGGTTGGTGGAAGGGGGATGGGGGTAAAGTTAAGAACAAAGCTTGGAATGTTGATTGCTTATACTCACGAGAAAAGCACCAAAGGAAAAGTGGGAAGGGGACAATTCCTGAAAATAAAATTGTAGGTTATTAAATTACTCATTGAAGCATGAAAAAAATAGTTGAGGAAGGGCAACAGCTAATAACAAAGACTTGGAATGTAACTTGTTTATACCAACGAGAGAAACGCCGACCTAAGCGAGGGTGAAAAACAATTAGTACAACATTAAATATGTTCGTAATTATATTACATGCTCAAACAAGAAAAAAACGGTGGGGAAGGAGAGGAAAGTCAGAACAAAAACTTCGAGTGCCAGAGTGTGGTGTGGACGGTGATTATATATTGTTTGACGCTTGTCTTTTTCATAATGATACGTAAACGCGGTGTTTATTTGACCTTCTCAGCAAACGAAGAACGTTCTGTCAAGATAGACACTCTAATTTGTCGCTTTAATAATAATTTTCCTGTTTTCGTATGAAACCAATAAAAAAACTACGCAGTAATTAGCATGCTTCTTCATACCTTTTTTGACGAAACAAATACATATATAATTCAAACACGCGAAGAGAAAGAAGTCGCGATTATTTATTTTAGTCTCAATAGAGCACCAGTTCCGCGGTCCTAAAGAGGGGCTACTCAACCCTCTTTATAACCTCAAATTAGAGAAAAGACCATTTATTCGAGGATAGAAATGTTTGTTCAGCGTGTCGTCAGACTTTGTTTGCAACAAAGTTCCAATTGTTGCTATATTTCTGGGTCGCCCACAGAGGCTTTCTTTGATTCCGGCCCAGTATAAGCCATGAGTTATAGGCTTCTGGCATTTTCAAGGTGCAAACATTTAGTGTTACTATCCAAGAAACATTTTGGCGACTGCACGACGTTGAGCGATCAATGCACGAAAATTGCACGCCGTGGCTCGTCCCTTGTTCCACCTTCTGGGCGAACTTGAGAATGGACTTACCAGTGACAAGGAATCTCGTCAAGTAGGCTCGAATATGCGACAAGCAAGCTCCAATTGGCTTCAGGCAGCGTTAAAGACTTTAAATAGCACAGTGCTTTGTTCTAGATAATTACTCGCGTTTAAATGTCCTTTAGTTCTTTTGGTGCGTTGTGTGGGGGAAATAATAACTCTAATAGTAGTTTTACAGACATGTGGAGATAACAAAACTAAACTCCAATAAATGCTGAAATAGAAAAAAAAACTGGGTATCTAACACGAGCTAAATTCGATGAACGCCAAATTTTCAAAACAAGAGTAAACGAAAGAAAGCCCGTTTAATTTCGACACGAACAAACTACGACAATACTGAACTCTATTATATGTATTGTTAAGAAATATTTAAAAAAAACCACGTTCTTTTCGTTCAGCTTTTTATTTTAATTATGACATCAATCTCGTCAATGGACCTTCACGCATTTGTCTATTTATTGACCACGTATTTTACTAAAGGCCACCTTGCTATTTGTACGAGAAATCGAAATTCATTAGACACTAATGAGTAAAGTACGTTGCAGGGCCAAAAGGGTGTATATTTAGGTCCAAACATAGCACCGCAAATGTGACAAATATTGGGTAATACACAGGAGAGCCTTTCTGTATAACTATCCTCTTCACGTCTCACATCCGTTATTTTATTTGTGCGTAAAAATAATGAGACGCTGCCTTTCTGAAGGTTACTTTGTTTTGTTTCTTTACTGGTCTCCTCGTAATGCTTTCAAACAGGCGAAGATGACCGGAGCCGGATGAGCAAGACCGGCAGCCGCGACATGGTGGACATGGTCCTGCTGAGCAAGAAGCTTCACTCGTCCTACGACGAAACCAACGCCAAGAGCTTCTACCCGTCGCCGCCGAGGCTGCACCAGCAACAGCAGCTCATGCTGCAGCAACAGCAGCACCAGCAGCTCGCGACGGCGCAGAACGGGTCGCAGCTGAACAACGAGGCGCAGGGGTTCGACGACGCCGGCAGTGACTGCGACAGTGTTCGCTCCAACGGCGCCGGAGACGCGGCGCAGCACCGGAGGCATCAGCACACCTACGACGTGCCTTTTCACGTACGACGGGTAAGCATGAGTTTGCTTCGTCGTCGGAAGTCCCTACGGGAGCGGGTTCGACGCGGTTGACACAGCGCTCCTACGCCACCAGCTCCTATTAGCGCCCAGAATATTTCGGTGGCGCCCTCTTCTGGTTTCTGTTCGTGACCAAACTTTTCCTCACCGTGACGTCACGAGACTAGGTATTATCTGTTCCGAACTTAAAGTTGGATTGTATGTGTAAATATCAATTACGGAAGCTCGGAGTCGTCGCATTCTTAAACCAACATCGTAACGGTCGACACTCTCACATTAAATTGACTGCCATTGGTGAAAGAAAAAATTAAGAAAAACACGTTAAAGTAATTTACGAATTGCGACCACAGCGACGCTTTTCGTCGCGCAAGTCGGTGCATCAACATGGAGCTCACTGTGTTTGTGAGTTTAGTATCACTTGCTCAACCCCCCCCCCCCCCCCCCCCCAAATCACGCTCGAAAAACAAATATCGAAAGGATCGCGTCGTAGTTATTGTGAGTGATTGATTACTTTACTCAGTGTCAGCAAACTAACAAAGAGAAATGAGGGCCATGACGATGCTCCCTTGGCGCTGCTGGATTGGCTCTTACGAATCGAAGCATCGATTGCAGTCGGACTTAAAAGTGAAACGGAGTTTAAGACAGACTCAAATCGCTGACGTCACGTCACTAAGGTGGCGCTGCTGTCCGCACTGCGGCTGCGCAGACGCTTCCTCGCTCGCCAATCTGGTTTCTGTGCATGCGCAATGCCCAACCCGGTATGGGCAACCGATGGCTCGTTTGTAAGCAGTGTGTTGGCGTATAGACTGGGGCTGTATATTTGATCGATTAACCTACCGATTAATCTTCTAATGTTTAATAGCCATTAACTTTTGTAACCGGTTATTCTGTTGAAATTTGACCAGGAAAAACGAAGTAAAATTCAACGGTTTCACCACGCAGACGTGGGCGAGTTCACCTGTATGAAGGCTAAATTTAGGACAACATTTGACCTGAACTAAGTTCTAGGGGCGAGATTAGAAATTCCAAACTAGTGGAAAAGAATATACTTGTCCCAGCCACTTGAACGCCGTCCGAGTGTTGGTTAGGGTAGCAGAGGCTATTGTGAACAACCAAATGAGTTCACTATTGCCGGAGCATATCATCGAACCTCTTTTCCTCTGCGGCTGAAGTAATAATTTGCGAGTGTGGGTGTATTTTGACTGTTCTCAACTGCACATAAAGATTGATATAAAGTTCTAAATTATACACTGCGCTGTTTATCACGCTTCAGCAACGTAAAAAAAATAAATATAATTTTTGACTTTTAAAAATAGTTTGAATGCAAATGAACGTAATTGATCAGTCGATTAATTAATCGATTAAATTGTGTCGATTAGTCGGGTTGTATCTTTTAATCGACAACCAGCCCTAATGTAGACCCACTCCAGTCGCTGACGTCGTGCAACTGCGGTGGCGCTGCTGTCGGAAGTGCGCATGCGCGGATGCTTCTTCTCTTCTGGTTTCTTGGCACGCGCAGTGCCCAAACACGGTGTGCGCAAACGCGGGCTCGTTTGCAAGCGGTCCAGACGCGCATTGCAGCAGCCGCGCATGCATGGGCGCCGCCATAACCAACTTTCAGTTATTCTTTCCTCGTATTCGATTTACTTCAGTATTGTTAGCCGAGCAGGCCACCTTATGGCCATTTTAGATTCTACTGTATTCTTCTCCCCAGCAGTGGCCTTTGTGGAAGTTCGTCAACACCCGTTTCAGTGGCTCGGTATTTCGGGAAGGCGAGAGAAGGTCAGCAATGGCGACTGTGATCTGGTGCGCATGCAATGCATTTCTAGACAAGATGACCTTCTTGCGGAATTTTCCCGCGTCACTGTAGACCACAGACTAAACAGAGTGCTGTGTCAGCCTTTGGTTGAAACTCGCCTTCAGAGCACTAGACTTCGTTCCATCTTAGTTCGGCCGGAGGCGACGCTGCGAGCTGAAGGGACCAATTGAGTAGCGTCAAAATTGCTAGTCACTGGGCCTTTTCTGCTTATGGTTGCTTCAGCGACAAAAAAACTGCGTACCGAAACATGACGAACACCACGCTGATGCGCTTTGAACCGTCTGATTGCTCTTATCCGCTCGTAGCGTTCGCTGCGTTTCGACTCAAAGTAAACAAAGTATACAGTGTGTGCCCTAGCGTGACCTTCTTCAGTGACGCAAAAAAAAAAAAAAAAACAGATTATCTTTAAGACTTTCTTTTTGTGTTTTTGCTTTTTAATCTAGAACGTGTCAGTTCTGCTCGAGCTTGGATGTAGAGGTGCTCTTTATTCTCATCCTAATTGGGCCCCAAGAAACCAGGGAATGTGTGCTCAAGCTTCTTGGAACCCGCATATGTTAGGAACATAAATTTTTCTTTTATACTTCAAACAATGTCTGCGTTTACCTTGCTGTCAAATAACTAAACTCCGCCATGTACAAAGGAAACATTACATTTTTATAAGTTAACAGATTACCTGCGATGGATCGAGGTGCCGAGCTTTTGAAATGCCATGCGCTGTGTGTTCGCAACCTAGCATCGATCACATCATCTTCCCAGAACATCCCAGATCGCCATTACATTGTCCATAGATAGTTTGTGGCTATGTTGCTTACGGGAGAGTAGTCGGTCGGGTTTTTATTTAGTCTTCTCTGTAGCATGGCGCACCACAGGCATGCGATGCTAAGCCTTAGGACACTGCTAAAACACACAAAAAGTCAGCGTAAAAAATATTGCGTCTGTGTTTTAGGTGTTCTGTCGACCACCAGTAGACGATAGATATATTTTCAAGTGAGGATTTTGTTCTATAAAATAACAAAGAAATGCGAGAAAGAAAAGGAAGAAGAAAGAAAGAGAAATATTGAAGACCTCAGCGAACAGCGTGTCTTATGGGAATTATAATGTTTCGTAGTGATTCACAAGGCTGGACGCACTGTCCAGTATGAACGCAAACGTGAGCTCCTTTTTGCTTGCCGTCCGGGCCGCCACTTGATATCGCCGACAATATGCTTTCGATAACAGATGACTCTGCTACCAAAGGTCGATAATAGCCCTAATAAAAGTCAATGGGCTAGCATCCCAAATTTTAATCTTAGACAGTCACTGTGAACAAGCTTGATTCCTTCATGTGTCCCTTTCCCAGAAATATAGCATGTGTGTACGCCTCATGATTTCGGAGGTTCTACGCGGCCTGTACTTTCTGAGGTTTCCTGTTGATGCGCCCGGGAAAGGGAACGCCCATCCGGTATTTATATTCATTTAGGCGGCACGAAAATATTTGTGTGAATTAAGGCTGGGTTGGAGCGCACTTTTCACATAAAATCACGTAAAGCCAGTGTGCACACAATGAGGGTTCTCGACACAGAGAGTTAGGGAAGCTTGTGATAATATTGAGGATTATCAAGAAGTAAATGAAACCTGGGTATACTTTGTTTTAACCTTTAACCCTTGACTTTGAACAGTCAGCGATTAGATGGTACAGGCAAACGAGCAGTCTAAAAGCACGATGCATTACGTGTGGAAAGCACTAATCGATATGAACTGAGTTTTAGACTTCACTTTGATTGAGCTTATTATAAGTATTTGGACGAATAGTTGGACGTCATACAAGTGTAAGAAATACGTCAATATGTTAACATAAAAACTCATTCTCGCCGTACTCAAAGGTATTACTTACTACTTAGTACACATATAGTTGTTAGGTCTGTCTTACGCATTTGTTTATATTATCACATTCATAGCTCAGTTGATTTTTTTATTTTATCACAATTCAGAAGATGTAATCAGAGTTTTACATGTCTCGTTTTTACGCCAAAAATTATTATTTATATATAAAAAACACTTTTAAGTTGTTCTCAAAGTAAAGTCGGAGGAAAAATAGAATAAACTTTCTGAAATAAAAGTTACTGCGCATGCGAGCTGGTGAACGATCATAGTGAAGAAAAAAAAAAAACCTCGAGACAAAGAACGAAAAAGGGGACAACCTCAACACCGTCTCTGATGACAGCTGCAAAATTTATTTCCACACAATTATTTCCATAGAGGGCGCCCCACGCACCCTGCTGACACCAACAACTGTCAACCCCCCAGCCAAGTGGAGCTGGCCCAAGCTCCGATACAGCCTAGCAATACATCGGCGAACACAGTGACCTTGAACGCTATATAGAAAAGAAGCACCGAATGTCCAGGTCCATCACAAGGGAGGGCATACTTGTACAATTGTCAGCGCTATTCTCCGTTTCACCCTACGATGGACTAGGGCCCGAAGGCTGACGGGCGGAGCACTGCCTCAGAAAAGCTCGTATCCGCATTGCGAAAGAGTGCGCGATAGAAATGCCGATGCGCAGACTACAAAGACCACTAATCTAACGCATGCAGTTCTCTGTTATAATAGCGCCCTATATTGTGTTGGCAAAATAAAGGCACATGATATTTAGTTTCATAAATGTTCTTGCCATATTTCGTAAACATGTCATCTGTTTGAAGAAATTGGACGGCGCGCAGACAACAGTGACATAAAGTCGTTTCACCTTAGCCATAACAATCCAATCCAATCCAAAATGTCTGTACGTAAAACGTACCATGACCCGCATCTCCCTTCCGCGCGCGATCCGAACATACGCTCCCGTGTCGAACACTCTACCCGACTCGGTCTTCATTTCTGAATGGCCACTGCTTCTGATCCCGGGTTCTCTTCGACCCATAGCTCCCAGGTGGTAATTAATCTCTTCAGTAGTCTTCAGTAGTAGCAAGCAGACGGAGCCACCGCGAGGGCTCAATAAGCAGCCGAAAAAGGGACCTGCGCATGACGCGTCTTGGCGCGCTGATTCATAGACGCCGCAAATATACCACGTGGTTTCTAACAGGGTCGTGATTGGACCCGGCGGCCTGTAGCATTGGGCTGTGTTCCATCGTGGACTGAGACGGAGTATAGTTATGCGAATCGTCTATTTTGACACTCTTTTGAACGGGTATCTTT